TCAATAAATTTAAGGACATTGATGACTATGGGAAGATTTCCTAGTCAATACAAACTCATGGAAAACCTGGAAAGCAGGATTGCAGATATTAGGTTTAAACCATCATCTTACCCCAGAAGCCACAACAAGCTTTAAATGGATATCTGACCTAAATATCGACGGTTGTGTCATTTTTAAAAATAAAGGAGGAAGGAGGTACTCTTCACCACTCTGGCCAGGGGAAGGATTTGTAACTAAATAATGGATAGGCATTCTCAAAGGAGATTAAAATGGACAATTTCAATGACATAAAGTTGAAATTCTGCACTAGCAAAATCAGAAAAGGCTTGGCCCTGTGATTAGAAGCAAGTCATTTAGGGCCTGGAGCCTCCATTTCTTCATTTGGGAAATAAAATGGGGATAAGGGGACTGGCATTACCTACCTCCTAAAGCTTTTGGCAACCTCTAAATATTACCTGGGCTATTCATTATTATTACTGACAACGACTCACACATATGCTGGCTGTTGTCCTACCCATATAGCTCCTAACTAGGAATATCTCTCTTTTAATAAATAGAAAGAAAAAGAAAAACATGAATGTGAAGAAACATCAGGAGAGAGTTTATACAAAGTGAGGCATAGTGAGGAAGTGGAACCTGAGGGGGGAAAGAAACAAAACAAACCCTCATAACTATTACAGCATTGTAAATAGAAAGACTCAGATGCCCCCAGTGGAATGCTGGGTAGGCATAATGACTGGTCCTAATCTTAAAGGAGAGGAGAGAAGGTGAGCCTCCCCATCTCCTCTGCAGGGGGGAGACAATGGGTGTGGTGAATTGCATATATTGACAGAATGAGTCATGTCTAGTTTATCCTATAGGAGGTGACATAAGCATTTCATGAGGTTGGACTTTTCAAAGCATTACTGGAGATAATTAGTGATAATTAGTCGAGGACCTCAGCCAACCACACCCACAGGCGTTTTGGTGGGTTGACCTCTTCAAGATCAGTAAGCTCATCAATGTGGGGGGGGGCGGGGGGAGAGGTCCTGAGCCAAAAATTCTCCAAGTGTGAAAACTTATCAGGGAAGAGAACAATTAAACAACTTTTTATGAAAGAGATTCAAGGAGCGTGTATCTGCAGCCAAAACCGTGCTACCAATGGGGTCACTGGACCTGCATTGGACCTGGGTCTCTTGGCCTGTGATCGTGGGGACATGGAACATGGCCCTCTTGTAGGAGAGCAGGTCCTCGAGGCAGCTCCAAGTATCCATAGATTTCTAAAATTGAGCTTTTATTATCATTCGCTGGGTTCATTGTCACTGTCTAAAATCATGCCCTGATTCAGTGAACATCACCTTTTCTAAAACAGAATTATTTTCACTCTTAACAGCTTTGTCTTTTTAATTATCTGTCATTTGTCATTGGGAAGTTGGCTTTTCTAAATTGTCTATAATTTTTTTGTCTTTCACTTGTTACCGGAAGAGCTAAACATGCAAATAGAAATAGAAAAAACAATCAGAAGGCATCTGTATTTATAGAAGGACAATTGGCATGCATACACTCTGAGTCAAGGGCTGATAGGCCCTGTAACTTCCCCAGGGGCACGTGAAGGCTTCACGGGGCACACCGTCTCACTCTCCAGACTTCTCTTCACTACTTCCCTTCTCTTCCTGACTCTCCTGTTACCGGCCCTCACACACGAGAGTCGTCTCTTGATCGCATGGAAAGCCCGCCAGGCTCATGCCTGGCTCCTCGATTCCCCGATTTCTTCGAAGATCAGCTCAAATGCCAATGCCCACATGAGGGCTTTCCTGATTCCTCCACTGAGGCTGCTACGTGATGCAGTGGGTAGAACGCTGGACCTGATGTCGGGTTCAAATCCAGCCTCAGATACCTGACAGCTCAGTGACCTTGGGGAAGTCCCTCACCATATGCCTGCCTTAGTTTCCTCAACTGTAAAATGGGGATCATAATAGCAGACACCTCACAGGGTTCTTGGGAAGATTAAATGAGAAAACAAAGTACAGACCACACTCTGTTTTGCCTCCATTTGTCCAATCACATGACCACAGAATTAGAGCTGCAAGAGAAGTCAGAGGTCATGTAGACCAACCCCCCTCATTTTATGATTAAGGGCCTGAAGTTCAGAGAATTAAGTGACTTGTCCAAAGCGGCCCCACTACAGAAATTTGAACCCAGGCCCCTGGACTATAAATCTGGCCATTATCCCCGACTCTTTGATGCACATCTGCCGCCCCCCCGGAGCTCTGTGCTCTGCCCCTTTGGAGAGCAGGCTGTGGGGGGAAGCACTCATGTTCTCCCCAGAATCAGGCCTCCAGCCTGGCCGCAGATCCTGTCACGTGCCGCCATGCTGCTGCCACCCTACCCTTCATGGCTGTCCCTCTCCACCTCCACCAGGACCTTGAAATCTGCCTCTGGGATGCCGGCTCTGCAAGGTGAGCTCGTGTGCTCTCTTACCTGAGACCAGTATTGTCTTCATAGATAGACTCATTGATTTTGAGAGATCCCATGACCGGCCCACCATTGCCCAGGCCCACCATCTCCAAGGGAGCTTAGATTCAGGACCAGAAGGGATCTCAGAGGCCACGGCATCCGGCCTGCTGATTTTCAAGATATGGAAACTGAGTCCGGGAGTATTCGAGTAACTTCCCTAAGGTCATACAGGTGTAAGTTAAGGTGCCAGACTTGAATCCAGGCCCATCTTTCCAAATTCAGCCCTCTAAGTTTGTACTGCAACACAGTGCCTCTAGTCTTCAGAGAGGCCGTGGACCTTAGCAATCATTTAGCTCAACCCCATTTTACAGATGAGGAAAACAAGGCCCAGAGCACTCAAGTGACTTGGCCCAGGTAGAAAGACAACATGAAGAACCGGGATTGGACCTCTCTCTTCTGCCTTTCTAAATCCGGCGATCCTGATGCTACGTGGCAGGTGTTTTCTGACTTTTTCCCCCCATCCTTCCCCTTATGATGGCTATGGACACCGAGTGCCTTCAGAGAAGTGGTGCTCTCATCTCGGTAGGGTGGAGGATCCGGCCTTTCTCAGAGGACAGAAGAGGCCTGTCCTGGGCACACGGCGAAAGCTTTGGGCACAATTCAAGGGCACGCTGAGTGGGCACCAGCGTCCCTTTGAAATACACCCAATGCAAGAGGACAGACATTCTCCAAATTGGATAAAAAGCTTCGGCTGCAGAAAATGCACTTATCACTCCTGCATCTGTAAGGCACCGTGCGTAGCTGAGCAAGACGCCAGGGAGCACCCCGAAGCCGGAGACCGCCCTTCGCAATGTGCGGATTTGGCTTCCTGGGCTACATCTGCTTCCTGAGCGCTGGGAGTGAGACAGCAGGATTCTTGCAGGCAGGGAAAGCGAGGATTTTATTAAAATAAAGGTTTGACTCAAAAAAAAAAAAAAGCACGCACAGCCGAGGCCTCATGAAGAGCAACCACAAAGGGTCCAGAGAGGTCGAGGAATTACCTGTGGTCACACAGGTAGCAAGTGTCAGGGCCAGAATTTGAATCCAGCTCATTCTACATATCCCCCCCCATCATCTTTTCCATGTTTCCTCCCTGCCTTGTTCTAAATAGATGGAAGAAAGTTAAGTCCACTTATTATTAAATCAGAGACATGGCCAGGAACAGCAACAATGTGGACTGCTGACGCCCGGTCCTCGGGCTGCTGGACCTGGGCCTGTGTGGCTCAGAGAAGACTGGAGGAAGGCTGGACAGCTGCCGTCCTTGGGCATGCCTGTATTTAAGCTCTTCCTAGGGCTGTGCCACGGGGAAGAAGAATTCGACACATTCTGCGGGGCCACACGAGACACAATGCGAATGCAGCCTCAGCCTAAGGGAAGGGAGCAGACCGTTCCTAAAGATGGGGCTTCTGAGGCACAGGGGCCGGGCCACCTTGGGGGGAGGGGGGCCTCTCCTTGTGCCCTCTCGGCCAGAGCCTCGATGACCACTCTTGGCACCGCTCGGGGCCGAGCGTCGGTCAGAGCCCTCCCACCCCGAAGTTCTGTGACTTCGTGACAAGCTCAGTTCCTCCTTGAGGACCAGCGAGCACCCACCTGGAGAGGTGGGGAAGGAGTTCTGTTCATGACCCTTTTCTGGCTCATTCCTAGCTTCCGGGTGAGCCTGAGAACACCAGAAGCAAAGGGCAAAATATTGCACAGGAACGACTCCTTTCTGAGGCTCTCTAAGCGTCACAATACACCACAGGGCAGGGCTTCTTAACTTGGCCTCTGTTACCTTGATCCTTTTTTCTTTTTTTTTTTTTAACATTTTGAGACCCCTGCTTCAATATGATTGGTTTCCTTTGTAACCTTATATATTTTATGCATTAAAAACATTTTGAGAAAGGGGTCCACAGGCTTCCCCAGACTGACAACAGACTCTGTGATACACACAAAGTTTAGAACCCCTGCTCCAGAGAGCTTTGGGACAACCAGAGAGACATGGTGCATCTCTCCTCTCCTGCAAAAAGGGGCTGGGGATCTTCTGCCTTCCCGAGGTTCCTGCCCATCTGGCCTCTGATCAGCCCAGGCTGGTAAAGGGTTAACAACAATCTTTCACAAAGGAAAACAGAAGTATGCAAGACACATTTTCCAGTTTAATCTGCATTGTTATCCTTTCTCCATCACTTTCTAGTCTAAGCAATCAGCAAGACAGTACACTACCTGCTTACGCCTGAGGTGAAAATGCTCCTGCTCACCTGTGCAGCCCACACTTGGACTGGCATCAGTTCAGGCCTGGTCCCCCCTGCAAAAGGTCTCCTGCCTGGCACCTATTGCACTGAATGAAAACAAACGTTCCTCCGTAAGTCCCCTCTGCCCCCATCCCCATGACTATGGATGGATGTGAAAGGACCATCATGAGAATGGTCAGAATGGGGCAGGTGGGCACTGGGAAGTTTTTTCCTCTTAAATGGATCCTCCTCAATCTGTCAGCATGCTCCTGGCCTGACACAGTTTTCTGGACCTTGCAGTCCCCAAGAAAGACCAACCTGTTTAAGTCGCGGTGGATGATGGGCTGGGTCAGGGTGTGAAGGTACTCCATGCCTTTGGCAACATCCACAGCAATGATCAACTTCGATTGTAAGTCCAAAATCCTAGAAAGGAATGGGGATGGTAAGGAGACCAAACCAGGAGCAGCCACACAGCAGCCAGAGGGAGATTCCCACGGTGGAATGGAAGCTCCTGGGGGAGGCCGGGGATTTAGGTTTTTGGTCTGTACATCCGCAGGGCCTAGAACAATGCCTGGGAGATGCAAAGCACTTCCTGTTTCCTCAATTCAATCCAACATTTCTGATTCCGTATTTCTCTCCCTCCCTCCTCTCTGGAGGAGTATATATCATGTGAACTATAAAACACCGTATACATGCATATATGCATGGACGTGTATATGTACAAATCAATGCCCGTGCATGTACGTATATGCATAGACACTTGACATTCTGTCCTATTTTACGATATCGCATTCTGTTCTATTCTATCCTTTGCTGTGTGGTATGGGCAGATCTGTGACTTCATCGATGGCATGGGGTTCTCCCTCTGCCATTGCAGGCCAGAGCCACGAGCCTGCAGCTTGTCATGTTAGAAGGTTGGCAGGAAACCTGGACGGTGAAGGGACCTGCTCAGAGTTGGGCCTTGAACCAAGATCCTCTTGCCCCCTAGGTCAGCATTTATCCCCTGGGCTGTGGTGTCTCCCTTATGTCAATCTATGCACATAAAATATCATATATATGTTAGAGTATGCAATATGTTATACATATGCATACATATATGGATTTGACTTAGAGATTCTCAACTGAAAGGGATCTTAGATGTCTGACCCTTTTGTTTCACATGTAAGGAATCTGAGGCCCAAGGGGGCTGGTGCAAGGTCGTACAAGCAGTACTTAGTGGAGGCAGAAGGTGACCCCCAGTTACCAGGTCACAGATGGGGCATTTTCCCCTCCATCTATGGGTTAGCTTCCAGATTAAAGAGGGGTGGGTTCACCTTTTAAATCAGATCATTTATGATTTTGGATTGACTCTCATCTGAGCCTCTCTTGCAAAAGTTCTGGTCTAGAATGTTCTAGATCATACAATGATAGCTGGAAGGGAACGCAAATCCAGGTTTTGACAGGAAAAGAGCTCTATGGAGCATCTGGTCCAACCTCTTCAGTTACCTCTTTGGGAAGTAAAGTCACCAGTCTGGGGTCACATGGGCAGTAAATTCGCCTGCTTTTTTTCAAGACAGTATCAACACAAAGAAATTAGGGTGGAAGCCTGGACTCGGGGTGGAGGTGGGGGGGAAGGTTTCTGGAGAGGAGATTCTTCAGTCATGACACACATAAATTTCAAAAGACTATTCAAAATTAGATTTAAGCAGGGACATTAATTTATTTTTTTTCCCACAGATATTGTGATCTCTAATAGTTATTCTATGCATGGGTCACATAGATCTACTTTATTGGTCTGTCAAATGCAGCTAATTATTGCAGGCTTTAATTAACAGCTTCCAAATCCCAGGCATTTGTTACCTGCAGTTGGGAAGTATACAGAAGGTACAAAGTTATTTTTATCCATTAAAAAATCATCAGTAAGGGGCACATTAATGAGATACAGGTGTGTTTGACACAACCAGGCACTCAAAGAAAAGATGGAATCCACCAAATACAATCTCCTTGGCATTGTAGAGAAGGAACCCTAATAAGGTTATCTTTTTCAGTTCAGATCTGTGGCTTCATTAGTTTAAGGAACCTCCTCCCCGCATTTATGTGGGCGAAGTCTGTGCCTAGAGTCTAGGAGAGCTGCGTGGCTCCCTGGGGCGCTTGAGACTTGCCCAGGACTGTCCGACCAGGAGGGGGATCCAGATTCTCTTGACAAGCAAGGCTGGCCCACTGGGCCCTCACCCAAACCTCCACGTTATTTGTTAGAACTAAGGTCCCGTACCTCTTCTGCTCATGGAGAAGGGAGAACAGGGACCCCCCTGATATGTACTGAGTGACGATGGCGAATTGGCTGGGATCGTTCAAGCAGGCTCCGACAAACTGGATCACGCAGGGGTGGTTGAGTCGGCAAAGAATGGACACCTCTCTGCAGAACATGTCCACGTCGGACTTGGAGCAGTAAGTGTGGGCCCGATAGCTGGAGAACAGCGGCAATGGAGAAGCGTCAAAAGCGAGGGGATAAACACAGGGTCTGCGGAATTGGTGTCTGTTAAAAATGAACTGGAGACACTGGGATGCTGCCATTTTCCGTTTTCTGGCTTACCGTTTGATCGCCACTATTTTGTTCCTGCATCTCCCTTTGTAGACTTTTCCGAAAGACCCTGAAACGATTTGAGCCGATAAGCAAAGGCACATTTCCTGAGCTTATTGAACTTCTCAGACACAGCCCTTCTCTCCGCCCCCAGGTTACCTGAGCCGATAATTTCATGGAACTCAATTTCTGAGAGCTGAAGATGGAAATGGGAAGGCAGCCCTGCCCGCAGGAGGAGGACATCAGCCTTTTCTGCAAACGCAAAACATTTTTATCTAAGTAAAGGGCATTTTTAAAGAATCACCACACACCCACACGCACTTCACCAGAACTGTTCTCCAGCCACAATCCATTTCAGGGCCCGTAATGCCTCTTTGCATAGGAACCCACAGCAAACCCAATACTGTGAGCAAATTTGCAGCGCTGTTGCTGCGTAGGGATTTGGGGCATCGAAACTTTATGGCAGATGAAGACTGTCCCGTGAGTACATTCTCCCCAGGCCGCTTGAGCAGTGTATTAAAAATCCTTCTTCTGGGGAAATAGCGCCCTGTCCTCTGTCTTTGACCTTGCTTGTCTGGGCTTAAGTTTTTCTTTTTTTCCCCTCCCTGATGGGATCCCACACCAGCTTGCCCGTATTACCTGCCAGCCCTGGAGGGCGGCTGTGAGGCGACCCCAAGTAGCCTCTTGTCTAGTCAGCCAAGAAGCCTCTCATAACAAGATAGTCTGAACAAGTCTGAATATTTCCAGGACTCAGAGGCATGGTCATTCAGTGATGTGTGGGCATTCACAGGAAGCATCCAAAGTTGGGCAATGCTAGTAAACCTCAAATCTGGAAATAGAAGTCTGCAGTCTGGTTTGCTCTTCTCTGATTTAAAAAAAAAAATACCTTGTCCAATTCACTGGCATTCATTCCTTCAGACCTCACCCCAGCCCAGTAATTCTTTTTAATATTTCAAAAGACTCTGTTTTATATCCTACTCAGCCCCCAACCCCTCTCCTATCCAAAAATAGGTAGAATTTTTCTAGTTTTCTTGAGAATATGAGATCAAGAAGAAGTAAGTAGATAACTAAGGGGGTGCATGATCTCTTGAGAGAGGCTAGCAAAATCGTCATGATTATCACCTGTATGTGAGTTGTGAGGCTGTAGGCCAGCGTGTCTATCCATTTACACTAATTATTTCCCAGTGGTCTTGAAAACATCTTCTACACTGTTCATTTACTTACAATGTTTTAAACTGGTAAATGACAGTACAAAATGATCATTTGGTCATGTGAAAAAAAAAAGAGTCTAGGTTTGCCCAATAAAGAATTTAAAGTACCTTTAGTCATGCTTTTAATCTTCCCCAGAGGAGATGGAACAGAAACATAGGAGCCATCTGAAATCAAAGAGTGATGCAGTAGAGAATCTTAGAAGACAGTCCAACTTCCTCCTTGGGAAGAGACATAAACGTGCGCACATGCACACACAGGTGTTCATGGACCTCATACACACGCAAGCGCATGCATTCACACACACACACACACACACACACACACATCATTCCTGAATATTGAACAAAAGAATTTGGTTAGAGAAGCAAAATGGGATTCTTACTTTAGGTCCATTTTCTTCCCCTAGATGCTGAGTCTGAACTTCAGGCAATTAGTTAGAGAGTAAGAGGAAAAAGTGAGAAAATCAAGTTTCTCCAGCCCGGAGGCCTCCTCTTTTTGTTTTCCTTGTTCTTTTGTCATGGACCCCCTTGGAAGTTTGGGCAGAACTAGGCACAGACTCCTTTTCAGAATGAATAAAATGAGATACCTAAGATTAAAAGGAGATCAATTATATTGAAATAAAAAGGATGCGGCTTTTCCCATCCAAGTTCACGGACCTCCTGGAATCTATGCACACTCCTGGATCCAGAAGCTTTAGGTTAAGAACCCTGATGGCAGGCTTACTGCATTAGGATTGGGGGACACTCTGCTAGGCTTTAATTGAATATGGAAATGGTTCACCATTCATCTGGGCCTCCACTCTCATATAGGAACCTCATAAATATCCTAAACTTTGTGGAATTGGGATTTAGTAAGTGAAACAACAGCATCAACAAGAAAGCCAGAGGTGACACGCATCCTTCCATTAAGCGTCCTGTCAATGTGAATTTTCTTAATATTAAGCAAGCATGGCCCTTTCAACCCCATCCTTCCCCTCTTACTCCCCCAAATAGCAATGGTCTTTATTCCCCTTTAAGAAGAATGTTCAGTAAAGAATAGTATACTTGTAATCAGAAATTCACTGTACCTCCTCCCGGCTGAGAATATTCATTACAGGGCAATTCATCCTGAGGCCTCTTATAATGTTTCAGGAGTGTGACGATGGCATCGTGCCCTTTATGGAAAGACCAAAAGGACAAAGAGTCTTCACTGGGGAGATATTTTCCTGCTCTTTTATTCTTTCTACTTACAAAAAAGACCCACCACAACTAATTATCCAAAAGGAGGAGATTTCAGCCTCAGACTGTGGGACCCTTGCAGACCTTGCCAAGGTAACTGTAAGAAGAGCAAAAGACCATTCCAAAAGTGGAAAGTGTCAGGAAATTAAAGCAAAGACACCTATCCATCACCAAAGATACGAAGCCCAGCATGAGGCCAGACTCCATTAATTCAGAATTTGTAATGACTCATTCAGAGTTTGGGCTGAAGTCTATTCACTTGTCAATGTCTGTCGTTAGAGAGAGGTCAAATTAAAAACATAAATAAGATTTGCAGAACGGAAGATTCCAGAACAAATTTTTGCAAAAGTTTTTCAGCATCAGACAATGAAAGAGAAAGGGGGGGGGAACGTGGGGGGCAGGTGAGTAGAAAAAACAAAATTTTGTGATTGGGATCTTGAAGACCAGTAGTAAACTTTAACACCTTGGATCAAGGACCAAATGCATGTTACCCTATCCTCCTTAGCTCACTATCAAAATCTCCTTTCACAGTATCTGTTGCATCCAGGCACATGTTGGTAAATGTTTAACAACCAGCTTTCTATAAAAAGAGTATGTACACCCCCCACTTTTCAGTTTAGTTTGTATTATTAACATTTTCTCCATCATTTTCCCAAGTCGAGACAATCAACCAAATAACAAAACAAAACCTTGATTTATAGCTTTTGCTGATTTTTGAGGTGTAAATGCTCACACTAAAAATTTGACAATTGGCTTTTGTGAGCTGGTAAGAGCTGTTTTATCTATTCGTGGTTCTTCTGCGGGGTTAACCATCTCCTCTTCGTTCGATAATCCTCGTATGATAATCTCTAGACACGTCATCATCCACCTGGAATGCCTTTCTTCAATTCTCCTTACAGACCACAAATGATGAGGTCGTCGGGACCCCTTCTACCCACATTGTCTATTATTGCCGAAAAATTAAGCAATTCCTCCCTTGTGGTGAGAATCTGGTTCAGAATACCCATGTCCACCTTCACCGCCTCCACCTTCGGACATTAAGTCAAGCCAAAAATATATGTGCTGTTCTCCTTTTAGCAGAAAGAGAATTCCTACAGACAAAGGGGTCATTTCTTTCTCCACCGCCTCAGGGGACCACACCAGGCTTGGGATGTTTTCTGAGCTCCTCATCTAGTCCTTCTTTCAGTACAGGTGGCCTTTAGGGTCCTTACTTGGAAATGCTGGAGGGATTTATGGCTTAGGAGCAGCTGAGCCAGAACTGAGTATGGGTATACATAAAAAAGGGGGCCATTCACCTCTTAGTTGCAAAATTTTACTTCTTTTCCTTAAAGTGCTATATGGTTGTAAACTATTACTACTACACATACATAGATATATATGTATACATAAACCATGTGTATACATTGTATTGTATATATGTGTTATTATTATTATACTTAAATGCATTCGATCGCCCTCAGCTGCTCTGCTTGGTTTTCTCTTCCTCTGTCACCATCATGACCCAGGTACTCCTGGGTCCACCCCATCTTCAGCTCTCTTTTGCAGATTATCTTCTCCATTAGATTGTAAGCTCCTTGAGGGTAGGAACCATCTTCTGCCTCTTTGTAGTCTCATTACTCAGCAATTTTTGGCACATAGTAGGCACTCAATAAATGCTTCTTGACTGACCGATCAATTCTTGGAGCCCTAAGAAATACACCCGAGGGGAACAAGACAGAGTCCACAAAGGAGACAGAAGGATAACCAAGGCCAGGAGGTGGGGAGCATCCCGTTGCCTCCATACATTTTCTAAGAGAGAGTGAGGCTGATGACTTGGTGTAACTCTGCCTCACTCCAGTCCAATTCACGCCAAGTTAGGACACCACCCATGATGATCACTGGTCCTCTTTGAAAACAAAGGTCAAACAATAACAATAGCACTTTCTACATGCATATCTGACTCATTTTGTGACCTCCAATTTCATATCTCTAAATGCCTTTCTGACATGCAGAACTGGATGTCTAGTGGACAGCTTAAACTCAATATGTCTGAAATTGAGTCATTAGCTTCTCCCACTAAACCCTTTCCCCTGGTATCTTCTATATCACTGTGGAAGGCAACACCATCTTCCCATCCCTCAATCTTAAAGGCAAGGTGTCATTTTCAGCTCTTCACGCTCTCACAATCCTCCCATTCCCATATCTGATCTATTGTCAAGGATTATTTGCAACATTTCTCCAATTTCTCCTTACATCCTCTGATGCTGCCCCCATCCTGGAGGAGACCCTCATGACATCATGCCTGGATTATTACAGTAGCCGGTGTGTGTGTGTGTGTGTGTGTGTGTGTGTTGGGGTGGGGGGAGGGGTCTGCCTGCCTTAAGAGTCTCCTCACTCCAGCCCATCGTCCGCTCAGCCACAAAAGGGATTTGGACCTATCTAAAGCACAGGTTCAGTCATGTCACACATACCCCCTCCCACTCCCTCAATAAACTCCAGTGGCTCCCTATGGCCTGTAAGATCGAATACCAAACACTCTGCTGGGCATTCAAAGCCCTTCATAGCCTAGCCCGTCCCACCTTTCCAGTCTTTGCACACTCTGTTCCCCCCCAGCCCTCCCACACCAGCTCCCCCCTCTGGGCATTTTCACCAACCATCCTCTAGCCCTTATCTCCACCTTCTGGTCTCTCCGGCTTCCTTTAAGTCCCAACTAAATTCCTGACTTCCACAGTAATAGCTAGCTAGCATCTATGCAGCACAACTACGTACCAGGAGCTGTGTTCCCAGCTTTACAATTATTATCTCGCTGGCTCCTTACAACAATTCTGAGAGCCAGGTGCTATTGCTATCCCCATTTTACAGATGAGGAAACTGAGACAATTAGAGGTTAAGGAGACTTCTCAGGGTCACTCAGCCACGAAGTGTCTGAGGCTGATTTCGATGCAGGTCTTCCTGACTCTGGGCCCAAGCACCACCCAGCGGACCCATCCAGGAAGCCTGTCCCACTCCCTCTTGATTCCAGGGCCTTGCCTCTGGGAATCTTGGCCTGTTTACCCAGACAGGGCCTGACTTTTTTCTCCGTAAGGGGCCCAGGGCTTAGTACAGTGTCTGGCCCATAGCGAGTGCTTAATACATCTTTATTCACTGACTGCCATAAGCGCCAGACCTCTCACTTCTTCAGGGAACTTTGGCCCTACAAAGGGACAATGTGCCCAATTGGGAAGGATTGGTTTACAATTGCTATTCTTGCTGTATGTTCTATGTCAATCGCTTTTCTAAAGGCTAATGGCAGGGGGTAGGGACTGGAGAGACAGTTCAGAACTTAAAATGTAACAAAAAAAAATCAAATTAAAAAAAAAAAAGAAAAACATGTGATCTCCTTGAGAACAGAGACCTTTCTTTATATTCCCCAGTGAGGCAGCTGGGTGGGGCAATGGAGAGAGCTGGGCCTGGAGTCAGGAAGACCTGAGTTCAAATCCAGCCTCAGATATTCACTAGCTGTGTGACTCTGGGCAAGTCACTTAACACTGCCTTAGTTTCCTCAATTGTAAAATGAGCTGAAGAAGGAAATGGCAAACTACTCCAGTATCTTTGCCAAGAAAACTCCAAATGGGGCCATAAAGAGTTGGATACAACTGTAAAATGACTGAAATCCATGTTCCCCATTGCTTAGCACAGTACCTGGCATATAGTAAGCATTTGATTGATGATAAAAATACTAAACTACTATTACTACTAAATATCTAGCTAATCCTTTAAATACTTTAAAATTTGCAAAATACTTTACAAATATTATCTCATTTGAACCTCACAACATCCTTGAGAGGTACTATTATCTCAACTTTACACATGGAGAAACTGAGGCAGACAACCCTTAAGTGACTTGCCCAGAGTCACACAGCTAGTATCTGAGACTGGATTTGAACTCAGTCCTCCTGACTCCAGATTTGGCACTCTATCCACTGTGAAAACTGCCAATAAAGGCTTGTTGATTGGCTTACTGATTGTACACTTCTCTGCTTGGATCAATAAGCTCCTGGCGGGACTGTCCATTTTGTTGGTGATTCTCTAACGTCTAGCAGACTGTGTAGCATACGCTAAGTACTTAACGAAGGCTTGCTGACTGATGGAGTGCAGAGTTGAATTTAAGCTTAAATATAGGAAAGCACTGGCCGTCGGGGGAGCTCTCCCCCGTGGGGAAGGTGGGCTTGAAACGCAGTTGGAAGTCTTCAGCCCTAACTCTGAGGTACGGGGACCACTCAGCGGTGCCTGGGATCAATGGAATGGAAAGTCAGGGTCCAGTGAAGGGCTATCTAGTGGCCTCTGAGGCCCCTCCCCACTCCTTGGGCTGCTGCCCCCTCAGGCCTTCTCTGGTCTCAGCTCACAAGCCACAACCTTATGGCTGAAGAGACTTAATGGCCCCCTGGCCCATCGCCTTCAGTTTTACAAATCAAGAACTCAAGGCACAGACGAGTGAAATACTTTGTTCCAAGTCACAAAAGGAGTAAACATCAGAGATGGATTTGAACTTAGTTCCTCTGACTCTAGAGCAGATGCACTTGTCACTGTAGTGAACATTTATATGGTGTTTTGGAGTTTTCAAAATATTTTGCATAGGATATTGTATATATCATAAAATTCATATGTTATTAAAAAAAACACAGTACAATGCCCAACGAATAGTAGAGCTATATGCTTATTCCCTTCCCTTATCTCATCAATTAATAACATTTACCAATATTATGATTATCCCCATTTTACAGATGAGGAAAGTGAGGCATAGAAGGTTGCCATAGCTAGTGTTTGAGGCTGCAGTTGAACTTAAATCTTTATGATGACACCACTCTTTTCCCAGTGCCACCTAGCTGTCTCTGTGCCATGCTATTGACATGTAAGTTTCCCTAGGGAAATTGAGAGGTTATGAGATTTGCTGTGGGTACAGTCACACGGTCAGCAG